CAAGAGACGATGATCTCTTTTTGCTTGGTATAATTATATAAGTTACATAGAGCATTCTTACTGAAAATTCGGATAAAAACGTTTGGGTTTTTTTGCTCTGACTTTAGAAGCAAGTAGGCAAATTTGTAATATTGATGAATTATAACACCCAGTAGCTAGATGAGGTAAATATACATTCTGTCAGCAGACGAGGTTAAATTTAAACTTACTGTTGTCATGATCAAAGTTAAAGTTGTGTCCCAGCTCATGCGATAGAGCCAACCAAGGACCCAGCGAGCCCCAATAGTTCCACTGCCGAGAAAATAAGGAAACAATGTTTGCTCTTAATGCAACAACGATCGATTAGTTAATCAAGCTTTTAGGACCCACCTTTTTTCCCCTAATTTTCAGGCGCAAGGCGGTTAAAAGGAAAGACACCCGTAACTGAGAACACTTCAGACACGTATGAATCACGAATCGCTCGTGGAGCTTGTCTTACGCTTCTAAGAAATCCAAAGTGACTGCGAAGTTTCTTACGCGCTTTCCAGGAAATTATTAGGGAAAGTGGACGAATAATACGGTAAAAGCCTTTGTTACCTAAGGTAACTTTCTCACCGCTTCAAGTCTCGCAGTTTTCTTAGTGAGGCTAGTGGCAATAAGAACGTGTGCAGTTTTTGACGCAATCACGTTGTGCCGCTGCTACCTTTGGAAAGCTACTTGTTATACAAACATGAAAATTTTGCCCACAATGGCTTTTGAGTAGGCGTCTTTTGCGCGTGATATTGACTGAATATGGTAGTGAGTGTTTTGTTGAGAAGGCTAATTATGCCAATCAGTTATGTTCGATGACAGCTCACCGCATCAACTCCAAGCGACCTTTTTTTGCATATTTCCCCTTTGTATGCCATTCCTCCATAATCGTCCCACATTGTACCCCTGAAAGTCAAATGAATTCACAACATCATAATAATTTATATGACATTTGTATAATTTCCAGAAGTGAATATAAGAATTGGACATTCTGATTGGTCGAAAAGCTCATCTTATGAGGCTATATTCGCCCCGCTAGAGCTTGACTACTAAGCTCGCCATCTTTGCCATCACGGCAAGGAAACATGGCGGACAGTTGCTGAATGATGTTTTCATTTATTCGAAAGACATCACTCCAAGGCCAGGATATTTGAAAGGATGGAGGATTTTTAAAATGACTGCTGTCTCCCTTGGACCAAAACTCTTTTCAAGAACTCGTATCCAAGGCTTTTAAGAATCGAAAACGTAGTGGTTGCGTCGATCGCCAACAGGTTAGATCGATTGACCGAAATTTATTTTTCTTCAAACTAAAGCTACTCATTTTTAGGCGATAATGACAACTGTGAATGAAGTCAACAACGATAAAACAAAGGTACCGGATGAATTTATTTTTC